CTCGTGATGCTCCGGGGAAACCCTAGATCTGGGCCTACCGGGTTGGACGATGATGGCACCTTCGATGACGTTGTCCCTCCTGGGTGCATCATTTTGGAACACGTGCTAGCTGGAGGGGACAAAAGGAGGAGCGGTGTTACATCTACTATAAGGCCGACGACGGATCTCGGCGGCATGGCATCGCGGAGGTTCGGCGATGGGCGCGTCTGGAGATGGACTCGTGCAGAAGGAGGAAGCTGTCTGGCGTCATGGTGGCGTTGATGGCAGAGAGGCCTGGCAAGGTCAGTGCATCAGCTCTGCTCTGAGGATGGACCGAGGAAAGATGGAGGTGACGGCCCTTGCAGCGTGCGGTGCTCACTGGGAGTATGCCAGACCAGGGTGGGACCCAATCTAGGTAGTGGCTTGGATGGGACACCCGGCTTTAGATGTTAGGTTTTGGTGCGATGTCTGTTTGGTATTAGGCCCGGACATTCGGCACATCTTCATCAAGAGGATAGGAGTAGCAACAGCGTTGCCAAGATGATGGCTTCAGGCTTATTGATGTATCACCTTGTATGGTCTTTATGAATAATTAATAATGTGGCAGCATGCATCGTCCACATGCAGAGGCCGAGGGTACATCCTCCTTTTTTTAAAAACAATAACATTACAGATTTTTCAGCCAAGTATTTATTGAAGTAAGACGATTTTTCAATTAGAGAGATCTTTCCAATTTCCTTAGCCCACACTGAACGTTAAGAGATCCCTTGAGTAGTTAAATTGATTGCTAAATCGATCTGTATAACAAAATGGAGCAGTAGCTGAAAAATCATTGCTGTAAAATCAAGTTACTTTAATCTCGAGAAAAAATCAAGTTATTTTTGTTGTAAAATCAAGCAGTTGCTAAGAACTACTACTTGTTGTAGATAGGAAGGAGAGAGTGCAGCGTTTCTGCACCAATGAACAGTAATATAAAAAATAGCAAAAATGTTCAAAAAAATCTGAAATATTTACGCATGGAAGTTGAGAGAATCTTCTAGGTGCGTGCAAAGTTTCATGATGTTTGGACATTTGACAAGCTCGTGGCAAAAATAACAAATTTGGCTTGTCAAAGAAACTTTCAAAAAGTGCACTGTGTAGACCGAATTTTGTTGAATTTTGCACGCACCTAGAAAATTCTCTATCTTTCATGTGTAAAAAGTTCAGATTTTGTTGAATTTTTTGCTCTTTTTTTTCGAATGTACTGTTCACGGGAGCAAAAGAGCCTGGGCACCATTATCAATTATCGCAGAAATGAGATCAACTCATTCCATATAGCACTGTTGTGGGATCCAGACTTTTGAGGCCTGAATTTGCGATTTTCTCGCGTGTACCTAGCAGAGCATGTATGGAGATAATAAATTAGCACATGTTGGTTTACAGAATCATGCAGGTCGTTCATATGTACCTAGAATAAGTCAAAGGATCAATATGCAAATAAATGGATCCTTAAGTCAAAAAAAAATTATCGGTACGCTTCCTCTTTGGCATGTCAAGAATCAATGCAATGTGAAATTAGAAATCAAATAATATTGACAAGTTCAAGCAGACATGCAGGTAAGGCCCGAAATAAAAAGGTACCTCCTGAAGTTCAAGGACATATATAATCAAAACAATACATGCCTAAAGACCATAGAGTTCTGATGATAATTGATCTGCATGGCGATCAGGACGACATGATCCACAGAATACAGTTAAAACATGCTGCCACAATCAAAAAGTTGCAAGGAGCATATACTACAGGAAAGAGGCAACCAAGCTATCATCAGTCCATAGTATTTCTGATTCTCATCAAAGATCAGACAACGAATTTAACACAAAGTCTGCAATGTAAGTACCACCAAAATCAGGTACCAAAAGAAGCAAATACAGATATTAAGCTATGTTGCGGATCTGCACCGCTGAGAAAAGGTCATCAAAGGAGTAATCCGTCCCTCTCTTGAAGCTCCAGGGGCTACCTCCTTCAGGACCTGTGCTCCCAAGAAGCACCATTTCGCAGGACCTGCTGGCCATGTTGTTAGAAGCTTCCTGCGCTTTACGAGTCGCCTCATCCATCGAGAATGTCGTGAAGCTCTGGTTAGCCATGGAGATGGACGCAGTCCTCAGCACCCTCGCGTTCCGGAAGAAGAACTTGAGGAAGGAAACCTCCCCAAGCTCCCCTCGGAATTCTCTGTAAGAGAACACCTTGATACACGACTTCACGCTTTCGGTGGGCTTGGCCTGCTTCCAGAAGTTGAGGTTCATCCTGGCACTGCCAGCTTGATGATCACATTTTTCAGACTGCAAGAAAAAAAACAATTACATCACTCATAGTTCAGCTATGATGAATCATGGTGAGTATATAATGCTGGTACACACACACAGCGCTTCAAAAGCGGCAGATATTGTCCCGTGAAACAAACAACATGCATACCTAAATGTGGGTTCTGATATATGAGAGAGATATGAGATGCATGAAGCTGGACAAAGTACCAACTATCCTAGTAGTACAGATAAACAGCAACTACGGTGGCCTCATGATCACGGTTCATGTATAACAAATTAAGAAGTTAGGCTACACATTTGAGCTGCAGTGTAGCTCTCCTAACACGTGCACAATTTACCAGCATCAATATGGCATTATGGCATGCTACACGGACCTCCAACAAATTGTAGGCAGCAATGTGCAACCCCCAGAATTCATAACAAATGTCATAACAAACTGAAATTAACATGCAACCCCCAGAATTATCATTCTGTACTCTAGTCACTTTTAGTATGTGCAGAGAAGACCTGATGGCTAAGAATAAATGGAAGCCTAAGAAGAACTGTGCAATTAGTTAAGCAGACATAACTCATGTCATGATATTGTCTAGCACCAAAGAACTAACATGGCACTGTGATAATGTCACACAGATCACCAGAAAACTGTAGGCAGGATTGAGCAAGATAATTATATATAAGTTGCAAACTTGACAGCTGAAATACAGGCCCTAATGGTGGAGGTTTTTTTCCAAAGGTTAGTGGGTGTAAGAAGAGAAAACCTGACGGCTGATAATAAATGGAATGCTTGACATTTATGATCATTGACTCAGACAAAGCAATGCAAATCAACGATCAATATTTTCACACGTGAAATTAGCATAAAGTAATAACTACCAAGTAGCCCACACGTGAAAGATCAGAAATTGATACCGTGTATGCACTATGCAGTTCCCCATGTTTGTTAGTATCACCAGAGATCTCACTCAACTATTCATGTGCTTGATATCATTGTCGATCGCAACTAAAACATGAAATGTAAAGAACTTACAATAATGTGCAGGCCTCCAAATTGGGAAAGCATCCGAGGAAGGAGGGAACCATCTTGGCATCCGTGTGGTTTCCGAAACGCACATTCAGACTCAGGACCTTGATGCCGGTGGCCATGGTGCTTGGGCTCGCCTTTATCCCGGCCTGAAATGAACCCGATTGAACAAAAAAAAAGTCACACATTTAGTCATGGACCTCCATCAACCGGACATTTTGCTAACTGAACAAACTGCAGACAGGAGATGTATGTACCATGACAATGGTGTCTCGGATCTCTAGCATGGTGCTTCCTGGCTCCAAGATTCCTAACGCGTGTAGCTTGGGACCGTCGCCAATCCTGACTCTGGTGCACAAGCCACCGGCGTTGCTCCGAAAGCCCTCCAGGATGAGCCGCTCGAGGCGAGGAGCCTTCACCACGGCAATGTCCTCCAAAAAAGAGCTGCAAACTTGGACGCACCGGAGGCTCTGGCTGACGAGGCGAAGGCGCAGCCCCTTGTTGCATCCATGGATGTTGAGGGTCTCCAGGACGGGGCTCTTGGCGACGACAAAGTCGATGTCCCCGGCCTCCATGACGACGCTGCAGATGCCGAGCTCACGGAGATGGGGGAAGGAGGTGCCGAGCGGTAACCTGGCCACGTCCGGGAACTTCCAGAGGCCGATGTAGAGGCAAGCGAGGGTGGTGATGCTGAAGAGCGCGGGCGGGAGGGGCACGTCGAGCGGCCACGGGCGGTTGACGAGGACGAGCTCCTGGACGCCCTTGGTGGCGAGGAGGTGGAGCCAGCGCGCGAGCTGGGCCTGGTACGCGCTCGTGTGGCTGCAGGTGAGGTGGACGGTGGGGATGGCGCCGGTGTGCGCTTCGAGGATGCTGGAGACGGCGGCGACGATGGCCGGCGAGTCCGCGGGCGTGGGGGGCAAGCGGCAGCCTTTGGGGCGGAGGTGGGCGTCGGCCAGGACCTGGGGCGTGGAGAGCCAGACGCGGCGCCAGCGCGAGGCGAGGACGGAGGTGCGAGCGCCGTCCTTGACGGGGAGGCGGCAGAGGATTTCGCGCAGGAGCGCGTCGTGGAGGAGGCTGATGCGGTCGACGCCGTCGGGCGCGGGGAGGGCGGGGTTGCGCTTGGGGTCCGTGACGGCGAGGCGGGAGAGGATCTTGTGCAGGGGCGTATGCCGCCGGGGGTCGGAGGCCGGCAGGGCGGGGACGAGCTCGGTGCAGATGTGGGAGAGCAGCTGCTCCGTGGATCCGTCCACCTCGTGCGGGTCGAGCCCCCTGCGCCGCAGATCGGCCTCCGTCAAGGGGTCCACGTTGGTGAACGGCGGCCGGCCGGCCATGGTCGCCGGACGATGAGGCGGCGAGGATTTGGGGATTTGTGGGTGGCGAGTGGAGCGGAGAGATTGGTCTGCTTTTTTTTTCTTTTTCTTTTTTCTTTTTCCCTTTTTGAGGCAAGGAGAGAGTGGCCTGTGACTCTAGAGTTGTTTAGTTGGGCCGAGATCCCACACAGGTTTCTCGCAGGCCCACCAGTCAGTTACTTGCATCTCATTTCTGGGACCTCCTCCATCTTCTCAAAACAAAATAAAAAAAATCGGGGACCTCCTATATGCCGCTCGCTGCGGCAAAAGGTCGGCGTTTCGCACAGAGACGGCTAACCTGGGCCGGTCCATTTGCAGTGGCAGGCGGAGCCATCACGTTCGAGTCTTCGAGAGTTGAAAAAAGGCAAAGATAGGACCGTGCTCGTGTGATTTGCTCCCACGACTGCACGTGATCAACATCGCTAGCCACCATAATTTCTAAAGATTTGATATCCAAAATGGCAACCCAGTTTATATGAACTTTTTTGAAATTTCAAATGTGGTTTTATTTTTGAGATTTCTGAAACAAAATCAAAATCTTCATTTTGTGAAAGCATAACATTTTTTGGGAATCTCAAATATTTTCTCAAAAACTAAACAAATTTATAAACACAAACATTTTTTAAAATTATGAATAAATATTTTAAAATCAGAAAAAAAATGAAAAACCCTCAATTTTTCGGATTTACGAACATTTTCAAAACATGAACATTATTTTATTTAGCGAACAAATTTTGAAAATATGGACATTTATTGAATTTTTTATGAACAATGGAAAGCAGGAACATTTTAAAAATTCACGAATATTATCTGAATTTGTGACAAAAATTCAAAATGCAAACATTTTCTGAAATTCCCGACAAAAAATTCTAAATCTTGAAAACATGAAAAAATCGAATTTGTGAAGAAAATTTAAAATTAAAATTCCCAAACATTATTTGAATTTTTGAACAAATTTTGAAAACTTTTCGGACTGTGAACAAATTTTTAAAGTGGGAAAATTTCTGCAATTGCCAAAAAAATTTCCATTTTCGAATTTTCTGAAAACATGAACATTTTCCGAATTTGGGAACCAATTTTAAAAGTGGGAACATTTTTTGAAATTCACTAATAGTTTCTGAATTTGTAAAATAAAGGTAAATATTTTTAAATTTGAAATTCTAAACTAAGAATGGTAATTGATAATTGGTTTTTTAAATTGCGAACATTTTTTGAATAGAAGGGAACAAATATTGAAATTCTTGAGCATATTTCGGGCAATTTAATTCTACCACAACAGTTATAAATAGTTTCCGTCTTATTGTGAAGCAGGGATATTCGGAGGCAGGCACAGGTTCTAATTCTACAATGCCTATCCTTGCAAATAATATGTTTAACGGGGACCCCTCGACCATTTTTATTCCAGTGATCCCTGGAGGATATACAGAACTTTTGCTTCAAACCGATCAAGCTTCAGAGCTGCTGCACACTCCAAGAAGATTAGATTTTTGATGGAGTGAACAAGCAGCAGCAGTATCTTTTATTTCTTCTTGTCGCTATTGATCAATATATAGAGTTACAAATCTATATATGTAGTGCTGCACTCTCGTGAGTGAGCTTATTTTTCTCAATTTAATTATCAGAATGTTCACGCTGGAATTCCATTCATTTTTGCCAAAGTCCTAATTTGTATTCATTCATCAGTCTCTATTTTTCCCATCCCTTTGTATTTTTATTGCACTTCTGAATGTAATAGAGCTATCTACATTGTACACCGATGGACACTTCTGAATGCCCCCAGCTTTGCTCGTGTGATTTTGCCCTTGCACGCTAGCCCCCCCTTGAGGTCGATCCAACCGGGTCGTGTGATAGGCACCACCATGGCTCCGCCCGCACGGGAGGGCAAACCATCACCTATCATATGCATTATTAACCAATGTCGACCGACCTTGAATTATTTGCCGCCCCTTCTTTTTACTCTTGCCATTATTATGTGTCATCATATATAAGCAATGACCTTGAGGTGTTTCTATCTATCTATGTATGTATCATCTGCTAAGCAAAGACGACTCAAAATTCAAAACATGCATGCATGGACCTAGAATACATATATGCAGACAAAATTGAATCAGAAAAATCAAAATAACAAGCTGACACATCAAACTGTTCAAAATAGACTATGGTGTTCATCTCCATCTCTAGCATCCAGCAAGCATTTCTCCACTCCAAAACTTTTCTCATCTTCACATTACTTTTCTTTTTCCTCTCTCTCTCTCTCTCCACAAAATGGTCACCTCGATTGCAAAGCAGGTAAAGCTCGATGATTTTGGTATCCCTGGCAGGCTGGATACAAAGGTTAAACCATCATCATCTTCTGGCCTACATCTGCTTGCTGTGTCTTGTCATCGAGAACGCAAGCCATGAAAAAAATCATCATAATATCTAAGCAAAAGCATTTGTATAAGGCTCTAGACCACGTACGTAAATGTCGCCCGTTTTGTCAGTGCTATGAATTTGATGCCGTTGATTCTCATTTTACTACTAGCTAGCTTATAAAAAGTTTTAGCTACATGCATACCAAAGCCTGTAACTGGTATTTTTCAGACGATTGCACTAGCTAAGTATCATCAATTTTCCTGCAGTTGGCTTCATGGTACAGATGGCAGATAATAGTAAAGAAAAATTAGGCTCAGGAGCAGCCCATACAATCAATCTAGAGACCTTCAGTAGGCGGCTTAACGTGTTTTATGACCATTGGAACGAAAATAAGTCTGATCTTTGGGCTTCTTCTGATGCCATTGCAATTGCGACTCCGCCTCCTTCTGAGGATCTCCGTCATTTGAAATCCACAGCTCTGGATGTTTGGTTACTTGGATATGATGAATTTCCAGAAACCATAATTGTCTTCATGCAGAAGCAGATACATTTCTTATGCAGCCAGAAGAAAGCAAAATCTCATTGGAACCATCAAGGATGCTGCTGCAAATGAGGCTGTTTTGGTTCTGATATTGTCTTGCATGTGAAAAGCAAGAATGGGGATGGCATTGACCTGATGGATGATAATACTGCGTGCTGTTTGTGCTCAGTCGAAATCTGACACTTAAGTTGTTGGTCACATTGCAAAAGAGGCACCTCAGGGTAAGCTCCTTGAAACATGGGCAGAAAAGTTATCTGTTGGATCTGTGTACAACTTGCAGACGTAACACACGGGTTTCCTGAGATTTTTGCCGTCGGGTACAACTTGCTTCGGTACACCCCCCCTCACAAACCGTATAAGGGTAGTATGGTCATTTGATCATAATGTATACCCACCTCCGTATGTGACATGTATACATAGACGTACACAGCCCGTCACACCCCTCTGTCATGGGCCTGGCCCATAGCCCGTCACACCCCTCTGTCATGGGCCTGGCCCATTTTTCTTTTTTCTATTTTTAACCTTCAAAAATTAAGTGCAAGAGGTAGGATTTGAACTCCTAACCTCTTGGTTTTCTTCTTCCTGCTATAACCAATTGAGAAAGCTTATGTGTTGTGCATTGTTACTCCCTCCAATCCTAATATTTAGTTTGTGCATAACTCTGTTCACGCATACAAGCGAGTCCAAACTTTGATTGATTTTGGAATGCTATTGCTGCTCTGCTGGATGGATTTGCAAAGCTCGTGGGAGGTGGGCGAGGTAAATACGCATACATGCCCATGGCTAGGAATTAGTAAAGCGGATTAAAGGGGCAGATTTACAGGGATTGGTTGCATGCCAAACAGGGAGAGGCTGGCTTTTCCTCAAAAAAAAAAGAAAAACAAGGAGAGGTGGGCGTGCAAATGCCCGTTGGGTAGGATTTGGAATTCCAAGTCAGATTTAATATGGGAGGTTGCCAGTGAGACGGATTACCGGCGGCAGATCTGGAAAGGACCGCTAGAAAATGGAAAGGGGCAGAGTAATAAGCAAAAAGATTTAAAAAGATTATGTGCAGACTAAATAGAATCAGTGGGAGTACTTCTTTTATTTTTCTTGTTGTGCATCTTCTCAGTCTAGTGTTTTTTTTCAATGGCATTTTTTCTTCGGTTTATTTTTTTATTTTTCTTTATTTATTCTTCTTTTTCTTAGTCTTTTTCATTTGCTTAAATTCATGAATATTTTCTTAATTTTTTTATTTAATCATGGCAGTATAATGAATACCAGAAATAAAAATTACATCCAGATTCGTTGACCACCTAGCGACGACTACAAGCACCGAAGCGACCCGAAGGTGCGCCGCCGTCATCGCCCCACCATCGCCGGAGCCGGACACAACTTGTTGTAGTAGACAGTCGGGAAGTCGTCGTGCTAAGGCCCCATAGGACCAGCACCCCAGAACAGCAACCGCCGCCGATGAAAAATAACGTAGATCGGAAGGATCCAAACCGAAGACACACGAACGCAGACGAGCAACGATGAGATCCGAGCAAATCCACCAAAGATAGATCTACCGGAGACACACCTCCACACGCTCACCAACGATGCTAGACGCACCGCCGGAACGGGGGCTAGGCGGGGAGACCTTTATTCCATCTTCATGGAGCCGCCACTGTCTCACCTTCCTGAGTAGGACACAAACCGTAACAAGATTGAAAAAAACGACTAAAAACAGAGCCCTCCCGTCGGCCCTTGTCAGGATCCACCGCGCCTCCATGGCCTTAGGGCCACCGGAGACTAGGCGGACCTGCGTCGGCGCCAACGAGAGGCACGAACCCTAACTTTCTTTCTTAGAGGAGGAGGCGGAATGCTAAGTTGTTTTGGTTTTCGATAATTTTTACATTTTCTGAAGTTTTCTCGGTAAAAAATTACCGAAAATGGTCGGACGTGTCGCAACTTGCATACAGTGTCGGAAACCATTCAAACCTGGCATGGATGCTTAACATGGGCACACCCACCTACTTGTAAAAGTTGTGGTTATTTGAAGGATGTCCAAAACTACATATATCCAGGTGTTCGGGTTGGCCAGAAGGCTCCCTCTAAGAGCACA